AGTAGCGTTATTTACAACATATAAGTAGCGTTCTTATCATATTGGCCTAGTTACCATTCGTGCTAGGTGCAAATCTCAATGGTATAAAGTAACGTGTGTATTCGGCTTCTCACAACAGCCGCAATAATCGAAATAGTCGAAATTATAAAAAAGTATTTCGGGAGTTCGATGAACGAAAAGAGGGCAAGTGGAAGTAGCGAAATTTCAAAGTAAAGAAATTGAACTTGTCCGAACTGAATATATTTATGGCAGATTGGAGATGAGCAATTCAAAAATGGCCAGACTTAAACTACGTGATAGAATTATTTGTTGTATACATTTGCAGACAAAAATACAGTGTCAAGAAAAGAATTACCATGTGTTCGAAAAACAACTAACTGTCTTATATTAAAAATGTAATAGATTTCACTTACAAAATGCAATTCGGATTGTTATTATGACATTCGTTAATCACAATGTTACTAAATTTACATACTGTACCAGTATATTTGTATTAGGATTATATATTTTGATGAAAATAGTAAGTCTACATAAATACTTAAATGTTTTAAGATCGAAGTACAAGACTTGAAAAGAAAAATGTACAGAAATAGTACTAATGGAGTGGCTTTGTTAATCGATGAAGAAGGACCTGTTAAAATTGTAATTATTACTATTATTAATAATTATACGTATTATCGTACAGAATATAATACCTTTATGCATACTTTTAGGAAGGAATTGTAAATTCAAACTTGAGAATCGTACCGTACGAGTCGGGAAGGGCGGATAGAGATGGAATAATACCTCATCAAATTCTGGAAGTTATAAGTGACAAAAACTCTTTTGGCCATGACGAAGGTATCTAGGCCAATACACAGAAACATTTTTCATTTTTAATACTTCGCAGCTTAGTTTTGGAAACGTATTAACTTTGTTTTCCAGTCATGTCTATGGGTGTTAAAGAAACTATGGAGAAAGTGGAGAGAATGGCCAGAGACGATCAGTGCATAGTGGTGGAATATCTGATCTTAGCAGAAAGTAACTTTACCAAATATTTCAAAACAAATAAAGGTCTAGTAAACTATATTTCTCGCCTGTTTATTGAGGTAGGATATTATTCGTTACATACGTTTAAATGTAAAATAATATAATAGCATTTAACTTTAGATTACAATTTATATTTTTGTGATGTTTTTATTTATTATTTAGGTACAAAACATGATTGATACATTAGAATTGGGAATAAAACTTTCTGTGCTCGGAATTACAAAGTTCACGGTAATTGAGGAAAACGAGTAATTTATCCATTAATTAGAATTATTTATTTAATTTCGTTTTCAATTACAGAAAACAACGGATCCATCTTATATACAAGATAGTGTAATTTCGGGTTACGAACGATATCTTCATGCTTCGGCGTTACTTTCTAATATGGCACACTATTACTGTCATCATGCTACTGGTTTGGCTGTAAATGCTGATATTATCATGCTATTTGTCCAGTAAGTATTATATTATCGATATATACAGATGACAGGTGGATTAATTTTAATATTTATTGTTAGTCGTAAAATGGGCTCGCTAAATCCTGATAATACAGTTAAACTGAATGTACTAGGTAAATATTTTTCTGCTTGCTTCTACGTTAACCTAAAATTCTTTCTACGCACTTTTGAATGAATTGCTTTATAGGCGTTGCGCACACAACCGGTGTTTGCAAGAAATGTCTTAAAGTTGGCATCGTCAGTCTCTATCCACTCAATTATGATAGAGCTAATATAGTAGCACACGAATCAGCACATTTGTAAGTGATTTAAAACATTACATTAAATGTAGAACTATTCTAAATTTGAGATGAAATTTCAGACTTGGAAGTCCTCACGATGGGGAAGATTCCAAAGAAGAAGGAAGTCCTGGAGGATTAGATTGTCCACATTCAGACGGATACATTATGGGAAGTCGAAGATATGGTAACGAGAATAAATTTTCCAAATGCTCTAAAGAATCCATCAAATATACATTATCGTAAGCATAACTTTAATTATATATTTGAATATTTTAAAAATAAATACATTAATAACGCAGTTGTTTTAAAGGAAATCTTCTTGTGTAATTGAAGATTGCAAATCGTATTAATTCGTATATGGTGGTATATTATATATTTTAAAAAAATATTATTTTAAATGATAAAATAAAATGTGAGTTGAATTTCGTATATATTATTTGATCACGTTTTAATCCAGAAATAATTTGAACCCAATAAAATAATTATTATATTGTCAAATTTTGTCGTCTGTGTTTTTCGTTGCTGATCATACATTAATATCATTCATTGCATTTTTACCTGCTTAATAAAAATCGCATGCATTACATTATTAAATTAAAAATTCCCATCATCAAGAATTGATGTATTTATCTGACTAGAAATTGCGAAAAATGAAATATATATACAGTCGACTCCCTTATAACACGGTAGATACGTTCCGGTTTTTATGAATCCATTTTCTACGAGTCCAGCCAATCACATCCCGGCATGTATGCAGTTTACGGACTACGGCTGTTTGAAAGGTTTTCTTCTATAAAATTAATCGATTCTAGACTAATTCGACTCAACATTTCCAAAATACGTATAATTTTTTGTGAATAATCCATATAAACTATGCTATAAATAAAAAATTGTAGGATTACTTACCAAGCGTGCACCGTTCGACCGCGTCATTGCTTAAGCTTGTTTTCGTCGTGGAGTGGTGCATCGATTGGCGCTCGCGTGCTTCCTGATAAATTATTTTTTTGCGAAAACTTCGCTAAACTTTGGAGACATCATTAATATAAATATAATTTTTATGGATGTTAAATAATAAATTGTTTTTAGTAGATCCGCTGCTCGTTTAAACTCAACGGTTTGTACAGTATCCGCTATTGGTCTAGATTCGACCAATCCTGTGACACGAGTCGGCGATGACGTTTTACCGAATTATACAAGTTTTTTAGCATGTTTGTACGAATACTGTTGCAATTTTTTCGCCGTGATATAGGAACCCGTGTTATAGGGGAATCGACTGTATATTAAAAATACAATTGAAAATTGATTTATAAAGAACATTATTGAAGTATATAGTGAAGTGCATTTGAAATAAAATGTTAAAAGCAGTTTAATTTTATTAATAAATCAATATTTTATCAAAGCAAAAAGTAATCAAGAGCTTATCTTAAGAGGAATGAAAAGCATAAAATAATACACCAATACGTAACCAAGCTTACAATTTACGACTCAATTTACTAAACTTAGCACTTATTGTACATTATATAAGCTACATTAGTGTTAGATCAACTGATAAGACTGTACTGAGAATTTTTACTATTCCCGGAAAGAAAAAAAAACTGAAAAGGGGGTAAAACAATAAACTTGCACGTAATACAAAATGTTTTATTTTGTTTTAGTTGTATATAAAATGATTCAATTAACAATCAAACGTTAACAATTCCATTGAACAATCGAGCTATATATTACACTTCGGTGACCAATAGAAAAAGTACACACTTTAGAAGAATGTTTGTCTTTTATATTTTAATTTTCAAAACATTGTGTAAATATAGTTTCTTACGGAAAAATGAAGTAGTGTCGAGATTATATTTATAAAAATACATCAACAAAGCTTTTTATATATTGTTATTATCGTATTAATTTTATGTATAACTAGCAGATCATCCCGGCATTTTTTGGGCAAAAAGTAACGATAGTGAAGATTAAGATTAGTAGATTATAGCAGATCTTACTTGTTTTTACCGGATGCAAGAAATTCTCTTTTTACATGGTCAAAAAATATGTTCGATTTTCTGCAAAAAATCGCATTTAAAACAGTACAGAAAAATGAAGTTTAAAAATAAGCCTTAATCCTCTCCCTCTTCCCGCGGGGAGAATTTCGAAAAATTTCTTTATAGTGTAAATTCCCATGACGTTCCCTAAATATGTACCATTCGAGTTTCAACTCCTAACAGTTTGGGCTCTGCGCTAATTATTATTATTATAGTCATTATCAACCTATCTCAATCTAAATATATAAAATTAATTGTCCTGACTGACTGACTGAGTCACTGATTCATCATCGCCTAGAGCAAACCGCTGAACCTAGAGGTGAAATTTGGTGCACAGTTAGGGTACAACATTGAAACGCGCATTAAGAAAAGATTTTTCGAAATTTTTTTTCGGGGAAAAAAAAGATTTTTCCCCGCAAGGGGAGAGGGAGAGCATTAAGGCTTAACCGGAAGAACTGCTTCTACTGTACTATTTTAGATGCGATTTTTTTGTTTTTAATTACGTTCAGTCTTCATTGAGTACTTAGATGTATTAAATTGAAAACATTTCAGACATTGTTATAAATATTTTTTATATATTTCGATTTTTTAACCAAATGTTCGAACCGATTTAAATTCGAATTTTTTTCTGCTTATTGGTTCGATTATAGAACGATTTTAAACGTTCCAGTAAATAATTAAATTGAAAATAGTTCGTGGTTCATTTTCTGCATGCGTTCCTTATAAAAGATATTTACAAATTAAACACGCATCACTTAAAAGTACTTCACACGTGAATTCGTGTTAATTTTCCTGCAAACATTCGTTTTGTTTTCCGTTTCACCCCGTGAGCACGAACGGTCCTTTTCATCATGTTCATTGCGGGCTCGACTACTCCAACAACAGAGCGACCGGGTAGTCAGAAACGAGGCTAGATATATTGGGCTCTATCCTTCACCAAACATCCAAAATAATTTCTAAAGATATTTTTTACTCAGATTAGCTCCGGTGTTTCCTAACCATAATTTTACTCTTTTTAGCCTGTGTACATAAAGTCTCCTTCGTGAGATTCGTTTCCATGATCCGAGAGCAGCGTGATGACACCTTAACCACTCGAACTCTGCCCTACAGATTTGGTTTTGTAAGTGAAATATGTTAAATTATATGAGAAAAACTATGGAATTCTTATGGGAGCAATAATAAGACTTAAACATTTATGAGATGACCATTTTTTTCGTCTCATAAATGTTACCGCTACAAAGATAATGATTAAATACTATTCAAATATTAATTTTCTTTACATAATTATTACGCTTCCATATCTTTTACAATGACATTCAACTTAGGCAGTATATTAAATAGTTTTCAGAAATTAATTTTAAGAAATAAAAATGTTTTAAGCAGTTCATTACAAGTATCATATAGCTACAATGTTATAATTTATTGTAGTAAAATAACAATAATAATATAGACTATATTATTATTATTTATTTCATATGTCATTTGTAGAACGTTTGTATGAAATAAATACGTAATACCTATTTGATGTTATCTAAAAAAATGCACTAAAAATGAAAAACGGAAGTTTCTATAATTTATTGTCATTCAATTATTTCCCAAAAATGGTTTCGTCTACAACAATCACCTCACGTGTACTGTTTATTTACATTGTGTAATTATTTAAACACTCAAAATTAATTTTCGTATTCTGTAAAAACCACAGACGTCACAGTTCAATTACGTACTTTCTCGAGAGGAAGCGAAAACATACCTCGTGTTAAATGTAAGTAAAGTAACCGATATTACGGTTTTACAAAAATTAGAAAATAGGACAAATTTTACAATTGAATATTGTTTTCTCCCCTGTAAGTCTGTTAGTTTCATCTGGGAGTTCGTATAACGGAATATATTCGGGAGTATTTTTTAATACCTCAATGAAGGTCGATTCTATTTCTTCCTTCGCAACCTTCACTAAAAATATGTTAAAGCTGCGCTCCCGCAAATATTTCATTTTTCGAAACTCTAAAATCCCGTCCATACCACAGATCTGTCTTTCGTAGACGAAATCTTGCGAATACGTCGACTTCACACCGACTAAAACATTTATTCCTTCAGGATTTCCATGGTTAATTGGCAGCACAATCGCATTCACCACACAACTTTTGCTAACCCATAAATCAGCCATAAACAGAAAAGTTGGTTTGACTTTGGTATTTTCTTTCAACTCTTTATAAGTCATGAAATTTACGGCAAGTAACGAAGAATATTCAGTTCTTCTCGGTTTAGCGTAAGCAGATATTATTGGTGGAAGAGTCGCGACATTTTTTTGAATTTGATATCTTCTTATGGATTTAGCTTCTTTTTTCGAAATGCAATCTTTGCTAATCAAGTTCAAAAGGTGTTCTTTTAACCATGGTTCCAACATGGAGAATCTAATCAACGGCAGGAACGGTCTTATTATTTTTCCCTTCGAAATGTCGTCGTTTGTTTTTCTCAGTTTACAAAATTTCTGCTCGACCCACACGAAAAGAGCACGCAACAAATCAGATTCCTCTATATTGAAAAAGTCGGACTTCAATAACCTGTAAATGGTGCTTTCTTCACACCGTTTGAAATCGTCTGTGTGGATATAGTTCTTTTCGAGCCAAAGGAAACATTCCCAACAATGAAACTGCAATTGTTTTTCGTTGTGTCTGCAAGCAAAATCGTGGATGCGACAAATGTTTGTGCAGATATTCGGCTGTGTAAGATGATGGAAACACATTTTTTGCAGTTGGCTAATAAAGTAACGTTTGCCGATGAGGTACATTTCGAATCCGTTATCAGCAGAATTCAAAAAAACATATTCTTTCTCCAAAAACCTGAAACGAAACATTTACAAAGTTAAACATTATAAATAATTTGCATATTTTATATTTCAGATGAATAGAAATAGAAATGCCCAATTAATAGAAATTTTTTTCACGAAAATATATTTCAACGAAGTAATATGAAATTTTGAATTTAAATTGAAATATGCTATACTTGAAGACATCGCGACATTCTTTGATTAATGAAAACATTAAAATACACACGGAAAAATATTAATGTCGGAGGAAAATGAACAAAGAAAATTATTAAGTGTGACGTTAAAAATTTCGTAATGTCTAAAATAGATCCCAAATTTCAGAAAGATCTTCAACCATTCAGTCGATTTTTATAAATCCTTCAAAATATCCTCGTAGTTGGTGATGTGAGAGTATGCGAATTAAACTTCACACCGACCAAAACCTTTATTAATCACGATTGCTAATTGGCAGCAAAATCGCATTCACGACATTGTTTGGTCATCCAATATACTAAGTAATGATTTATTAAATGTTTCGTTATTAAATAATAAATGAATTTTACGAATAATTGCATTATTTCGATTCAATAAATTTTTTTCGTCCACTGCAAATTATTTTAAATGATTACACGATTTAAAAAAAGAAAAAGACTTTTTGTTTATACGAGTTTTTCGTATTGTTGCGAGGTAAATTTATACACTAAACACTAAAAAACGTCCGTATAATAAATTCGTACAAACCCTGCAAATTCATTCAGCATTTGCAATGTCAGAGGTAATTTCAGAATAAACTTCATTTCATTGGGACACACAATTATAAAGTTTTTCAGCAATCCACCATTTTGTATCAAAGATGTTCGTGATACGACGACACATTCTCCATTCTCATTGAATATAGTCACTTCGTGAAAGTTAAATCGTTGTTTTTTCACNCTGGCGAAATATTGGCGGAAAACTTCGCACTGCTTGATGCAAACAATCGAATACTTCACTCGGTAAGTCATTTTCTAAATTATTATTCTTATACATTAACGTTATTTGCAACATTTAAGTAGCCTACTATTCTCACCATATTGGCCTAATTATCATTTGTGCTGTGTGAGACATCACAGTGGTACAAAGGAACGGCTGTACTCGGCTTATCATAATAGTCGCAATAGTCGAAATAGTCGAAATTATAAAGAAGTATTTAAAGAGTTCAATGAACGAAAAGAGACCAAGTGAAAGTATCGAAATTTCAAAATGAGGAAACTGAAATTCATTACATTGAGTATATTTGTTGCAGTTAAATCCAGAAAGAAACATTTTAGTCAGTCAATGTTTATCACAAAGCAAGTAGGCCTAATGTGTACTAATGCGTTTTCTATTTTTAAACTGAATAAATTACATAGCACTTTACAGTTTTATCTATATTACGCTGTCTCGCGAAAAAAGCTATAGAAGGTAGCACGAGAAAACCGTTTTCGAAATCTTGCTTCGAATTCATTACCACGAAGTCTTCAACAAAACCAAAAACATAGACCTATATAATATTAAAGTTAATAGCAAAAACGAGAAATACATCAAATCTAATTTTCGCGATAATGATTATGCAGTATTTCTTAATTAAAGACATGAAATTTTTGGCATAGTTGATTTTCCAAAAGTCAGCTATGCCAGAAATCCATAGCTCATCTATGGATATTTGGAATATTTTACTTTGATAACACTTGGTGGGTTATTTGAAAAGCGTAATTACTGACAAAATGTGTAGATAATAGTGATGTAACGAATATTCGGTTACTATTCGGTATTCGGCCTATTCGGCCTATTTTTTACTATTCGGCCGAATACCGAATATTTAATCACTATTCGGCCGAACACCGAATACCTAAAAACAGGAGTAAGAAATTACAAAAACACTGTAAATTAATCATTTTGCTATTTAGATTTAATGTTATCGAGTTAGTGTTGTTTGTTTATATCTAATATATAATCGAGACAGGTTGATGATAATAATATTAATAATAATAATAGTAATAAGCGCAGAGCCCAAACGGTTAGGAGTTGAAAGTTGAAATTTGATACACAGTTAGGGTACGTTAGGAGAACGCACGCTAAAAAGGGATTTTTCGAAATTCCTTCCCACGGGGGAGAGGAACAGGATTAAGGCTTAACACTTTCATCAACAATGGAAGTGCTAAGTAACAATAGAAGTGTTAAGTAACAATGGAAGTTTTAAGTAACAATAAAAGTTTTAAGTAACAATGGAAGTGTCAACAATGGAAATATTACGTAACAATGGAATTGTTAAGAGAAAGCGACGTGCAATACGCAGATGCAGTTTTTTTTGTTTTTGCGGGAAATCGAACATATTTTTAGACCCATCTAAAAATTCTCTAATTAGTCTGGAAACAAGGGGACCCAATTCTTGCATTCTGTGAAAACGGGTAAGGTTGACTGTAACATAATAATCTTTATCTTAGTTATCGTTACTTTTGCCCGAGCAACGCCGGGCCCACCTGCTAGTTTATTTATAAATTATTACATGCACAAAATAAAAAAGAACATAATATTAGTCACACGTATTTACAATTTATAATTACAAAGATCAGCACACGTACCCACCTATTAGTTAGAGAATCGTCGCATATCTGAGGGTCTGACCCTGTCTATTCTTCTTTTTAAGAGCTCGTCTTTGCTCTTCCCTTTCTCTTTCCTCTATCTCTCTAGTCCACGTATGCCTATGCATATATCATAATACGCCCTCACGATACTTTCGATTCGTCACTTTTCCGTCGTAGATTTCCCATTTTACAATTACGTGACTTATAGCCTGGTGATAACGGAGAAAAGAGACAGATAGGACGTCGGTATAAGTCACAGTTATGATTTCACAAATTCGAGACAGTTTGGTAGCCCGAACGGTCCCGGGCTTTCGCCCGTGCACGCTAAGTGACTTTCATTACAAGCATTTAGGTTTTCGAAGTCTATGACGACAATTGTTTGGCATTGACGGCCGCGAATTTCGCTCCAATAAGCTGCCTCGACTTGTTCGATCATGTTATCAATTCAATTTCATATTCATTTTTACATTTTCACTTCGCGGTTCTTCTCTGTTCTTTCTCCATTATTTACACGTGTAGGTCGTTTCATTGTTATCCACATTTGATATCATCATTTATCACATACTGTCATGACGCTCTTGTCTGTCCACAACAACTGCCAAGAATTAACGCGATTGACGAAGCGTAGTGATAGCGAGCCAACAGATAACAGGATCCTTGCCATAATGCGGTTTGAGCGGCAATTTTCGTACGTGCGTTAATCAAGCCGAATATTCGGCTATTCGGCTACGCTTCTCGCCGAATATTCGGTATTCGAATATTCGGAATATAATGGCCATAAAACGAATATTCGGCCTCAGGCCGAATATACTATTCGTTGCAACACTAGTAGATAATCGAATATTGCGTTGGTACTTGGTAAAAACTTTAATTGCTAGTGTTCTTCCGTTTATTCTATCGACAGCGCGTAGAAGTTCTGAGTTTGCATAGTGTGACAGTAATTAAATTTTTCGATTACAATGCATTTGTTCGTATTTTAAAAACAAAATATGAATAACTATTAGGATAAGAGTAAATTAATTAAATAATACTTTTATTGTAAACAGAAAGAAGGATTTGTCATAAAAGGCAAATCTATGAAACATAACTGTTTAGATACTTCCTTTCAATTAAATTTATACGAAATTACATACATGCAATTCAAAAACTGTGCACTATAGTCAGAGATAAAATAAATGAGAGAATGATCTGTTATGTACATATTCAGAGAAAAAAATTATGTAAAGAAAAGAATTACCACGTGTTCGAAAGGCAACTGATTGTTTTATATTAAAAAAGTAATAGACTTTATTTACAAAAAAACAACTCGGGTTGTTATTATGACATTCGTTAATTAATCACAATGAATTTACATACTGTATATTAGTATTAGGATTATATATTTTGATGAAAATAATAAGTTTACATAAATACTTAAATGTTTTAAGATCGAAGTACAAGACTTGAAAAGAAAAATGTACAGAAATAGTACTAATGGAGTGGCTTTGTTAATCGATGAAGAAGGACCTGTTAAAATTGTAATTATTACNATTATATATTTTGATGAAAATAATAAGTTTACATAAATACTTAAATGTTTTAAGATCGAAGTACAAGACTTGAAAAGAAAAATGTACAGAAATAGTACTAATGGAGTGGCTTTGTTAATCGATGAAGAAGGACCTGTTAAAATTGTAATTATTACTATTATTAATAATTATACGTATTATCGTACAGAATATAATACCTTTATGCATACTTTTAGGAAGGAATTGTAAATTCAAACTTGAGAATCGTACCGTACGAGTCGGGAAGGGCGGATAGAGATGGAATAATACCTCATCAAATTCTGGAAGTTATAAGTGACAAAAACTCTTTTGGCCATGACGAAGGTATCTAGGCCAATACACAGAAACATTTTTCATTTTTAATACTTCGCAGCTTAGTTTTGGAAACGTATTAACTTTGTTTTCCAGTCATGCCTATGGGTGTTAAAGAAACTATGGAGAAAGTGGAGAGAATGGCCAGAGACGATCAGTGCATAGTGGTGGAATATCTGATCTTAGCAGAAAGTAACTTTACCAAATATTTCAAAACAAATAAAGGTCTAGTAAACTATATTTCTCGCCTGTTTATTGAGGTAGGATATTATTCGTTACATACGTTTAAATGTAAAATAATATAATAGCATTTAACTTTAGATTACAATTTATATTTTTGTGATGTTTTTATTTATTATTTAGGTACAAAACATGATTGATACATTAGAATTGGGAATAAAACTTTCTGTGCTCGGAATTACAAAGTTCACGGTAATTGAGGAAAACGAGTAATTTATCCATTAATTAGAATTATTTATTTAATTTCGTTTTCAATTACAGAAAACAACGGATCCATCTTATATACAAGATAGTGTAATTTCGGGTTACGAACGATATCTTCATGCTTCGGCGTTACTTTCTAATATGGCACACTATTACTGTCATCATGCTACTGGTTTGGCTGTAAATGCTGATATTATCATGCTATTTGTCCAGTAAGTATTATATTATCGATATATACAGATGACAGGTGGATTAATTTTAATATTTATTGTTAGTCGTAAAATGGGCTCGCTAAATCCTGATAATACAGTTAAACTGAATGTACTAGGTAAATATTTTTCTGCTTGCTTCTACGTTAACCTAAAATTCTTTCTACGCACTTTTGAATGAATTGCTTTATAGGCGTTGCGCACACAACCGGTGTTTGCAAGAAATGTCTTAAAGTTGGCATCGTCAGTCTCTATCTACTCAATTATGATAGAGCTAATATAGTAGCACACGAATCAGCACATTTGTAAGTGATTTAAAACATTACATTAAATGTAGAACTATTCTAAATTTGAGATGAAATTTCAGACTTGGAAGTCCTCACGATGGGGAAGATTCCAAAGAAGAAGGAAGTCCTGGAGGATTAGATTGTCCACATTCAGACGGATACATTATGGGAAGTCGAAGATATGGTAACGAGAATAAATTTTCCAAATGCTCTAAAGAATCCATCAAATATACATTATCGTAAGCATAACTTTAATTATATATTTAAATATTTTAATAATAAATACATTAATAATGCATTCTTTTTTTTAAGGAAATCTTCTTGTGTAATTGAAGATTGCAAATCGTATTAATTCGTATACGGTGGTATATTTTATATTTAAAAAAATATTATTTTAAATGATAAAATAAAATGTGAGTTGGATTTCGCATATATTATTTGATCAAGTTTTAATCCAGAAATAATTTGAACACAATAAAATAATTATTATATTGTCAAATTTTGTCGTTTGTGTTTTTTGTTGCTGATCATACATTAATATCATTCATTGCCTTTTTACCTGCTTAATAAAAATCGTATGCATTACATTATTAAAGTAAAAATTCCCATCATCAAGAATTGATGTTTTTATCTGATTAGAAATTGCGAAAAATGAAATATATATACAGTCGACCCCCCTATAACACGGTAGATACATTCTAGTTTATATGAATCCATTTTCTACGAGTCCAGCCAATCACATCCCGGCATGTATGCAGTTTACGGACTAACTGTTTGAAATGTTTCTTCCATAAAATTAATCGATTCTAGACTAATTCGACTCAACATTTCCAAAATACGTATAATTTTTTTGGGAATAATCCATATAAACTATGCTATAAATAAAAAATTGTAGGATTACTTACCGAGCGTGCACCGTTCGACTGCGCCATTGCTTAAGCTTGTTTTCGTCGTGGAGCGGTGCATCGAATGGCGCTCGCGTGCTTTCTGATAAATTATTTTTTTTTGCGAAAAATTCGCTGAACTTTAGAGACATCATTAATATAAATATAATTATTATGGACGTTAAATAATAAACCTGTTTTAGTAGATCCGCTGCTCGTTTAAACTCAACGGTTTGTACAATATTTGCTATTGGTGAAGATTCGACCAATCCTGTCGGGACACGAGTCGGCAATGACGTTTAACAGAATTATATGAGTTTTTTAGCATGTTTGTATGAATACTGTCGCAATTTTTTCGCCGTGATATAGGAACCCGTGTTATAAGGGAATCGACTGTATATTAAAAATACAATTGAAAATTGATTTAAAAAGGACATTATTGAAGTATATAGCGAAGTGCATTTGAAATAAAATGTTAGAAGCAGTTTAATATTATTGATAAATCAATATTTTATCGAAGCAAAAAGTAATCAAAAGCTTATCTTAAGAGAAATGAGAAGCATAAAATAATACACTAACACGTAACCGAGCTTACAATTTACGACTCAATTTACTAAACTTAGCACTTATTGTACAGTATATAAGCTACATTAGTGTTAGATCAACTGATAAGACTGTACTGAGAATTTTTACTATTCCCAGAAAGAAAAAAAAACCTGAAAAGGGGATAAAACAATAAACTTGCACGTAATACAATTTTTTTTATTTATTTTAGTTGTATATAAAATGATTCAATTAACAATCAAACGTTAACAATTTCATTGAACAATCGAGCTATATATTACACTTCGGTGACCAATAGAAAAAGTACACACTTTAGAAGAATGTTTGTCTTTTATATTTTAATTTTCAAAACATTGTGTAAATATAGTTTCTTACGGAAAAATGAAGTAGTGTCGAGATTATATTTATAAAAATACATCAAAACAAAGCTTTTTATATATTGTTATTATCGTATTAATTTTATGTATAACTAGCAGATCATCCCGGCATTTTTTGGGCAAAAAGTAACGATAGTGAAGATTAAGATTAGTAGATTATAGCAGATCTTACTTGTTTTTACCGGATGCAAGAAATTCTCTTTTTACATGGTCAAAAAATATGTTCGATTTTCTGCAAAAAATCGCATTTAAAACAGTACAGAAAAATGAAGTTTAAAAATAAGCCTTAATCCTCTCCCTCTTCCCGCGGGGAGAATTTCGAAAAATTTCTTTATAGTGTAAATTCCCATGACGTTCCCTAAATATGTACCATTCGAGTTTCAACTCCTAACAGTTTGGGCTCTGCGCTAATTATTATTATTATAGTCATTATCAACCTATCTCAATCTAAATATATAAAATTAATTGGACTGACTGACTGAGTCACTGATTCATCATCGCCTAGAGCAAACCGCTGAACCTAGAGGTGAAATTTGGTGCACAGTTAGGGTACAACATTGAAACGCGCATTAAGAAAAGATTTTTCGAAATTTTTTTTCGGGGAAAAAAAAGATTTTTCCCCGCAAGGGGAGAGGGAGAGCATTAAGGCTTAACCGGAAGAACTGCTTCTACTGTACTATTTTAGATGCGATTTTTTTGTTTTTAATTACGTTCAGTCTTCATTGAGTACTTAGATGTATTAAATTGAAAACATTTCAGACATTGTTATAAATATTTTTTATATATTTCGATTTTTTAACCAAATGTTCGAACCGATTTAAATTCGAATTTTTTTCTGCTTATTGGTTCGATTATAGAACGATTTTAAACGTTCCAGTAAATAATTAAATTGAAAATAGTTCGTGGTTCATTTTCTGCATGCGTTCCTTATAAAAGATATTTACAAATTAAACACGCATCACTTAAAAGTACTTCACACGTGAATTCGTGTTAATTTTCCTGCAAACATTCGTTTTGTTTTCCGTTTCACCCCGTGAGCACGAACGGTCCTTTTCATCATGTTCATTGCGGGCTCGACTACTCCAACAACAGAGCGACCGGGTAGTCAGAAACGAGGCTAGATATATTGGGCTCTATCCTTCACCAAACATCCAAAATAATTTCTAAAGATATTTTTTACTCAGATTAGCTCCGGTGTTTCCTAACCATAATTTTACTCTTTTTAGCCTGTGTACATAAAGTCTCCTTCGTGAGATTCGTTTCCATGATCCGAGAGCAGCGTGATGACACCTTAACCACTCGAACTCTGCCCTACAGATTTGGTTTTGTAAGTGAAATATGTTAAATTATATGAGAAAAACTATGGAATTCTTATGGGAGCAATAATAAGACTTAAACATTTATGAGATGACCATTTTTTTCGTCTCATAAATGTTACCGCTACAAAGATAATGATTAAATACTATTCAAATATTAATTTTCTTTACATAATTATTACGCTTCCATATCTTTTACAATGACATTCAACTTAGGCAGTATATTAAATAGTTTTCAGAAATTAATTTTAAGAAATAAAAATGTTTTAAGCAGTTCATTACAAGTATCATATAGCTACAATGTTATAATTTATTGTAGTAAAATAACAATAATAATATAGACTATATTATTATTATTTATTTCATATGTCATTTGTAGAACGTTTGTATGAAATAAATACGTAATACCTATTTGATGTTATCTAAAAAAATGCACTAAAAATGAAAAACGGAAGTTTCTATAATTTATTGTCATTCAATTATTTCCCAAAAATGGTTTCGTCTACAACAATCACCTCACGTGTACTGTTTATTTACATTGTGTAATTATTTAAACACTCAAAATTAATTTTCGTATTCTGTAAAAACCACAGACGTCACAGTTCAATTACGTACTTTCTCGAGAGGAAGCGAAAACATACCTCGTGTTAAATGTAAGTAAAGTAACCGATATTACGGTTTTACAAAAATTAGAAAATAGGACAAATTTTACAATTGAATATTGTTTTCTCCCCTGTAAGTCTGTTAGTTTCATCTGGGAGTTCGTATAACGGAATATATTCGGGAGTATTTTTTAATACCTCAATGAAGGTCGATTCTATTTCTTCCTTCGCAACCTTCACTAAAAATATGTTAAAGCTGCGCTCCCGCAAATATTTCATTTTTCGAAACTCTAAAATCCCGTCCATACCACAGATCTGTCTTTCGTAGACGAAATCTTGCGAATACGTCGACTTCACACCGACTAAAACATTTATTCCTTCAGGATTTCCATGGTTAATTGGCAGCACAATCGCATTCACCACACAACTTTTGCTAACCCATAAATCAGCCATAAACAGAAAAGTTGGTTTGACTTTGGTATTTTCTTTCAACTCTTTATAAGTCATGAAATTTACGGCAAGTAACGAAGAATATTCAGTTCTTCTCGGTTTAGCGTAAGCAGATATTATTGGTGGAAGAGTCGCGACATTTTTTTGAATTTGATATCTTCTTATGGATTTAGCTTCTTTTTTCGAAATGCAATCTTTGCTAATCAAGTTCAAAAGGTGTTCTTTTAACCATGGTTCCAACATGGAGAATCTAATCAACGGCAGGAACGGTCTTATTATTTTTCCCTTCGAAATGTCGTCGTTTGTTTTTCTCAGTTTACAAAATTTCTGCTCGACCCACACGAAAAGAGCACGCAACAAATCAGATTCCTCTATATTGAAAAAGTCGGACTTCAATAACCTGTAAATGGTGCTTTCTTCACACCGTTTGAAATCGTCTGTGTGGATATAGTTCTTTTCGAGCCAAAGGAAACATTCCCAACAATGAAACTGCAATTGTTTTTCGTTGTGTCTGCAAGCAAAATCGTGGATGCGACAAATGTTTGTGCAGATATTCGGCTGTGTAAGATGATGGAAACACATTTTTTGCAGTTGGCTAATAAAGTAACGTTTGCCGATGAGGTACATTTCGAATCCGTTATCAGCAGAATTCAAAAAAACATATTCTTTCTCCAAAAACCTGAAACGAAACATTTACAAAGTTAAACATTATAAATAATTTGCATATTTTATATTTCAGATGAATAGAAATAGAAATGCCCAATTAATAGAAATTTTTTTCACGAAAATATATTTCAACGAAGTAATATGAAATTTTGAATTTAAATTGAAATATGCTATACTTGAAGACATCGCGACATTCTTTGATTAATGAAAACATTAAAATACACACGGAAAAATATTAATGTCGGAGGAAAATGAACAAAGAAAATTATTAAGTGTGACGTTAAAAATTTCGTAATGTCTAAAATAGATCCCAAATTTCAGAAAGATCTTCAACCATTCAGTCGATTTTTATAAATCCTTCAAAATATCCTCGTAGTTGGTGATGTGAGAGTATGCGAATTAAACTTCACACCGACCAAAACCTTTATTAATCACGATTGCTAATTGGCAGCAAAATCGCATTCACGACATTGTTTGGTCATCCAATATACTAAGTAATGATTTATTAAATGTTTCGTTATTAAATAATAAATGAATTTTACGAATAATTGCATTATTTCGATTCAATAAATTTTTTTCGTCCACTGCAAATTATTTTAAATGATTACACGATTTAAAAAAAGAAAAAGACTTTTTGTTTATACGAGTTTTTCGTATTGTTGCGAGGTAAATTTATACACTAAACACTAAAAAACGTCCGTATAATAAATTCGTACAAACCCTGCAAATTCATTCAGCATTTGCAATGTCAGAGGTAATTTCAGAATAAACTTCATTTCATTGGGACACACAATTATAAAGTTTTTCAGCAATCCACCATTTTGTATCAAAGATGTTCGTGATACGACGACACATTCTCCATTCTCATTGAATATAGTCACTTCGTGAAAGTTAAATCGTTGTTTTTTCACGTTTGACATCTTATTTTGCCTCTTGAAACAATACGTGTATTACTAGAAACTGGTACGAATAATAAAGAATATTCTTCGAATCTCTTAAATTTTTTTAGTCAACGATTATCTTTCTCAATACTTGCCACTCAAAACGAACACTTTCTCAAGTTACGTTCACCGGAATAGAAACGTCAATCATGTGTTACTTTTTATGCAAATGAGTTCACTAAATAGCTGATACTGAACACTTTTGGAAAATATTAATATACATAAATATTTATTGTGCTCAATTTTCCTAATTATCTGCTTATTCGGTGATGTGAATTTCATAAGACATTTTAATAAATCGTAAATTTAACGAAAATTAATTTTAGAGCTTTTCATGTATTTCGTGCATCTCATTCATTAAATTTAGTTGTAAATGATGCTGCCAAACTAACAGTTAATTTTTTAACATTGTACATAAGTTGTACACGTTTTTTTCTGCATTCCTTTATAGATGGAACATACGAAATCGTAATCTCACTGGTTTAATATTGAAATCCGTAAGTAATATAAATTTGAGAGTAGAATAAAAATATGAAATATTTTAATGGATTTTTTTAAACTCCCATACAGAACTATCATAAAAACATACGAGTAAATTCTTATCGGTTGGGTTAAGTTATAAATCTACTCGTGATTCACACAATTGGGCGAGGGCGGCCAAATATCTAGATGGCAAGCATCTGGTCCTGAATAGAATAATTGAAAGCGTTTTCGCTTCTTCCTACCAGATTCTGGATACATTGCATCCGTGATCGAGCGACTGCTTCACTACAGTAAGGAAGAGAAGAAAATTTTGGAATTTCACTATTTTTTTTTTCTTTGTTGAGCGTTTTTAGACTCATAATCTTCGAAGGTAAATATATCTATATAGAAACACGCAAAATTTCATCTGGCCAGTCGGATGTGGAAGGCGAACTTGCGATCAATTACCAGTATTCAGCGATTTTATCCATTCGAACACTAGTGGGCATATGCAAACTTTTTACTCTATCAAGGTCTTCCCTCGTAATGAATGAAGCAGTAGTGAAACTTCTTCATATGAAAATGTATCTTTATTATATAAAATCGTGTATTTCTTAATCCCGTAAACTTGTTATTCAATATACAGTAGAGCCTCGTTTATCCGAATCAATTGGGAATTGGGGTTGTTCGGATAACTTATTTTTCGGATAACCAGTTATGTACGAAAAAATATATTAATCTATCCCATGTTGAAATTTCTCTCTGTTGCTTGTCGCTTCGTGTGGAATTTTCGTCGATGTTAAGCCTAACGTAAACTTTTTAAAATAATAATCGTGGCTATTGTATTGTTAAACATTATTTTTTTATTTTGTACAAACAAATAAAATATATTGAAAAATATAAAAACCAAAAAAATATATACTTTAGAAGTTGATCTAGTATCAAAAACGTTCGATTCAGCATGACACACAGTCCTCAGAAAAACACCAGACAAAAGTGACAGTGCTGCCTGCTAAAACACATAACTTACACAAACATAAAAAATATTGGAGTAGACCAAGATATAGCCAAAGATTGCAGCGCCACAGCACTAGCGAAAATTTATATTTGCAGACTGGATTTCTTTCGGATAAACGACACTTTACCCTATTTCTATTTGTCATATTCGCATATTTAATGCAGTTTTGAAGAAGGTGATCCCTGCAAATGTGAAGTATTGTTCGTAAGTGTGTATTGTTCGTAATACCGTGTTCTCTTCTCTAATCTGTTCACTGCAAGTATGAAGAGGCTTTAACTTGAGAAATATTTGTTAATGTCAGTGGTGTTAACATCTACTAAAAATTGTTTGAATACTATATATTGTGATACTCCCAGTAAATCCACGGTTAGATATTAGACTACCGATAGTACCACTCGACGTATCATTCTCCATCTCTTAATTTCATTACTCAACCCCATAGAACAGTGTTTTTCAACCTTTTTCATTCAGTGGCACCCCTAATTGAAGAATAAAAGATTGTGACACCCTTGAACAGCGGCGGATCTAGAATCTGAATAAGGGAGAGGGACTAATGGGTCAGATGAATTTTTTGCTATAACGAATATTACGCGTAACGCAAAAGTGTTTCTACGTGTTCAAAATCAAAATTTAAATCCATTGAATTTTGTCGAAATACCTACATATAAAATAATAGTTTCGCTATTGTTTTTTAAATATAGTTTTATTATCAAATATATCATCATTTTATATTATCATTTTATTGATAAACAATTTTTGTTAAGTTTTTTATACTATTTTGATGCATATATAAAATAAATATTTCATTACTTTTTTTCTTATCTTTTTCATATCAATTTAAAAAATTTAAATTAAAAAAATGATTAAAAATTGTTTATTTGTCATCATTGCTTTTGAATATTATGAAACTACTGTAATATGCACCTACTTTGTGATTGAAACCACACGCTTTTCAAAGTGCAATGCAATGCTTTTTAAAGCATATACAAGACACAAGTGTCCACGTCGTTCTTCTCTGGTGGTTGGCCGGTACTGGGACTGGGAACGTGAAGGCCAAGCAATGTGGTTTGAGCGAACTCGTGACAAGTCGTGCCTACACGTAGCGTAGAACATTACATTAACATGCGATTAGTCATAGTTTCTTTGCTTACTGGATATCTCGTAGCAAAATAGAACTGACAATGAGTTATCTTGAACTACACTTAAGTAAATTTCCAAGAAAATGGCTAAAGGCTTTAAACTTTGCGACACCCCAATCGTGGCGCCATGGCACCCCGGTTGCAAAGCATTGTCATAGAAGGTTAGGCCAGTTTGTAATGTGCGTACTTATGAGACCATATAGTTTATAATTGTTTATGGCAGGTGCTAAGTAATAAACCAATCAAAAGTTACAACATTATTAATAAAATTATCAATATTTAAATATGAATAATCATTTTATTAACAAACCAAAAATTTGCAGAAAAAATTTATTACGTGTATTGCAGATTTGCATTTAATGATACATTAGCATTGGTGATACAATATTGATTGTAGTTTCATTATATTTGTGAAGATCCCTGCAAAAGAAAAACAAAAAATTCATTAATTCATTCATTAATAATCGAAGTTATGCGGAAGAAAAGCCGTGCGTTAAGATGTTAGCTTACCGCTCTGGTAACCCGGAAACAAATCCAGAAAAGACAAAAACCTCAAGAATTTTTCATCGGTTGGTCTGTTACGAATATGTCGTGCTTCGTCTTTCATAACCCGGCCACTCCACTGACCGGGCCGAATCGACCAGTTCAACAATTAATGAAAACACTTCGTAGTGTCCACAAAGAGAAAAGTTGAAAGAAATATAAAGAACCCAGGATATTTTCAATTAAAAATTGAATTATGACTATTTACAAAAAATTTTTTTAATTTTTCGAGTCTATCTTTCATCCTTTTAACACTTTTAATCCTGGGTTCTTCATGTTATCATGTATGCTTTTATGCAAATGAACTTTATGATTACCCAAAATTGCCACCAGAGGGCCTGAACCAGTTATATATTGTGCTAAAAAACATGGAAGTTATGGTCAGAAATTGTAGCCATTGTTTTAAATGCTTAAGGACGCCGAATTCTCAAATAAAAGGTCGGCGTTTCGATCATTTTTAACTTTGTGCGTGTTTTGTTATAATTTATCACGTGTTCTGTGAAAGTTCATCCAAGACAATATACTGTTACTTCTGTGGTGTGTTAAAAGGATGAAAGATAGACTCGAAAAATTAAAAAAATATATATTTGTAAATAGTCATAATTCAATTTTTAATTGAAAGAAATAAATGTTACGTGCTTTTTCTTTGCACCTTTGATTCATTAATAAAGTAATGACATGCTATGGAAGTGTATACCATTATGTCAATTTGACATCATTTTACGCTGTTTCATTATAAAATAGCATAAAGATGACAACAAAATGACCTGTGCATTCTTCTGACAAAATGAATGCGTCTTAGTATACCTGTTAAATTCAGAAACTTTACTATTGTTCCCCAACACTAAATACTTCATTCAGTAGTATTTTTTCAGTTTCACCTCTTCTCACCTGTAGTAAGTTCTTCGTGGGACCAAACCAAAATGAAAGAAACCGGGTAATTAAAGACTAGGTTCAACATAAATGACTACTCAAAAAAATTCCTGGGATTAAATCTCAAAAGCGATGAATTGACGCCCAAATCTTCTGATTATCCGGCCTTCGTACAGTTATATTATATATCCAATGTCGGAATTTTAATTCATTATATTGATATTCTAATAATCAGAGTGAAGAAAAAGATATCTGCGATACATTGTTGAAATTTTGAAAATGAAAAAAAAATATTTATGTATATTCTGCAACAACTTTTATGTGATTTCATAAAAGTAAAATTATGTATTTTGGTATCATTGTTTATTTATTCATCTGTAATGGTTTGTTAGATATCATCTCGTGTAAATCTAGTTGTTGAAGGGAAAAATATTCCTGTGGATTCCACATTTTAAGATACTGTTTTTTACGACATATGACACACAGCTTTTGTCCAAAAAAATAAGTCAAAAATTTTCCTGTTTTGTATATATGAAGTTGCGATTCCCATAAGCTAATGAATTCTCCAGCCTTCAATAGGCTACAAGTAAATGCACACATTTTTTAATAAATATTTTGTGCTGAAATACATCTTAAATATCGTATAGTAAATTATGGTATTTCAATGTATATATATTTGAAATTTCATGTGTTTATCAAAATGTATTTTGTCCTATACAAAATTAAAATATAGTTTAGAAAACGCAGGGTGATTCCAAATTTAGGAATAATATTTACAATATAATTAACGAATTGAAAACAATATCCAGTTGCCTGGTTTCCTACCATTTAATTGTCTATCATTTATTAAAATGTCTATTTATGTAATTATCTGATGAAGAGACTTACCGAAACATGATATGAAATTCAATAAAGAATTTTAATGAGGTTCTATCTTTTGGAAAATGATGAAATTATAAGAAATTAAGCGACTGGATATTCTTTTTAAATTGTTGATTAAAACAGAAGTTTTTGGCTTGGACCAGACTTCGATGGGTTAATTCCACAATCAATGGCACGTTAAAGCTTCGTGGGACCAGACGAATTTCAATAAGGGGCATC